CCCACATCGGGCTCCCTGCTCTTCAGGAAGCCTGCTTCTCCCTCTCCCACTCCCCCTGCTTGTGTTTCTGCTCTCTCTCTCTGTCAAATTAATAAATAAAATCTTTAAAAAAAAAAACAAAACAAAAACCCTGGCTACCCTGAGGTGATCAACAGAATCTGTGCCCCATCCTTGGTTTTTCAGCTGCCACTGTCCACGGGGCCTCTTCGTGGCTGCCTTGCAGAGGTGTGGTATCCCGGCTGTGGCCCCAGCTGTACTCCCTCCTGTCTGGGCTCCCTCCTTCCCACACCTGTGCTCTGCTCCTGCTCTGTTTGGTACCTGTCCTTACCTCCTGCCCCTGTGTCAGTTTCCCCAAACTTTCATTGTATGATTGTTACAGTTTCATTTTTTTGTAAGTTCTAGGTTCTCCTTTGAATTGGCTGGACATTTATAATACTCAGTAGCTCCTTGATGGTGTTTTGAATTTCTTTTTATGTTATTTGTACCTACTAAACATACCCATTTTCTATTCTATGATTGATACTTCTAGTATCTGAGCATTCTTTTTTTAAATTTTGGTTCTCATTGGTTCTTTGTGCTGTTGATTATGGGTCTTGGTTTTCATGATTTTGTGATTTTTGTTATGAACTCCCATTTGTTAGTACTGTGTTTGTGGGAATTCTTTGAAGATCAGATTGAGGGTCCTTCCTTCAAGAGGATGTTTACTTTGGCCAGGCAGCTGGAGGAGCTCCTATCCCACCTCTCCTTTTTTTTTTTTTTTTTAAAAAAAAGAGGTTGGGAGGAACAGAGGAAGAGGGAGAATCTTAAGCAGGCTCCCTGCCTAGTGTGTGAGCTCAACTCACGACCCTGAGATCATGACCTGAGCTGAAACCAAGCGTCAGACCTTAACCGACTGAGCCACCCAGGTGCCCCTCCCAGCTCTCCTTTGTATTAAAATTACATGGCTTGTTGATTTTCAGGCGATACAGAAAGTATGGATTCATGCCAAGCTTGAAAGCTTACTCTTCCCTAGCTTTGTGTGGGGGTCTGTGACCTGAGTCTCTGTCTTGTGTTGGTCTGAGGCTTTTCCTTCTGTCCCTCTGCACGAAGCCACTCTGTTGCACTGAAGCTGTGTGCTTCAGGAATCTATCCTCTTTAGCGCATGTCTCCCTGAATTTGCTCTCACCGAGTTCTTGATCAGGAATGTTTTCCCTTCACTTCTTGCAAGCTCTTCCATTCTTTCAGGGGTTTGCAAAATCTTTGTATAGCCTTTTTTCAAAAAAATTGCTTTGCACTGTGAAGTTTGGGGATCTCTGTATTCTACAGTTATGTTAGAAAACTTGTCTGATAGTTTTTCAGTTTTCATTAGACTCTAACTTACTGTAAAGTTGTGGTCAGTTCAGAAGATAGCTTGTAGGATCCTGTTTAACTCTGGATACTGTCTTGTTGCTTGTTAGAGATGGTTGGGGTTGTGGTGCTCTTTGTCCCTGATGCTGTGGATTAAACACACTTATATGGCCTGTGCCGGCTACACAGACATCATGGATAATGTTCATTGAATGAAAAGATAGGATTAAATTGTAAGCAGCTGAATTGAACTGTTAGAGCACAGTATACTTATGAATCGAGGGCCGCCTGTGTGTAAATGCAGGAGTGGTCTCGGTAAATCTGGTCTTGAGGTTTCCTGTGGGACCCTCTCTGCAGTTGTGTCCCTTGATTATGTGCACTTCTACAGGGTGGTTTTCTGTGGACCCCTTGCCGGAGCTTCCAGTTCTCCTGTAACATCCCAGGGAGCGGTATTATTTCACGTACGTCCTGCCTGTGGTGCCTGTCACCCAGCGTGCAGAATGGGGCATCTGCAGTGTAGGAAAGCCCTGTTCACCAGCAGGAGTATTTAGGGTGAGGCTTCACATGGGGCATCATCTCAACCTGTCTTCTTTCCATTTCAGGTTACTGCTGATGTCCCTGTACAACGTGAGCATCAACCTGAAAGGCTTGAAGTACATCAGCGAGAGCCCGGGATTCATCCCGCTGCTGTGGTGGCTTTTGAGTGGTGAGGAGAGGGTTTCCCTGTAAATCTTCTTGTACCGCGGGTGCACCTGTTTCTCTCTGGCCAGAGGAAGGTGTAAAGTATTAGAAATATTGGGATTGATTGTCCTAAGGTGTTAGCATTCTTTAAAAAAAGATTTCAAACTATAGAGAACTCGGTGGTGTGCTAGGTTATTTCTAGTTCTGCTTCTGAAGTACTGCTTTCAGTGTAGTTACGATTCTGTGACACACAGAAAAATTATCTTTAAACATTTATTTTTATTGTTTTTGAAGATTTTTATTTATTTGAGAGAGAGAGAGCACACAAGCAGGGGGAGAGGCAGAGGGAGAAGCAGACTCCCTGCTGAGCAGGGAACCTGATACGGGACTTGATCCCAGGACCCTGGGATCATGACCTGAGCTGAAGGCAGATGCTTAACCGACTGAGCCACCCCGGCACCCCCAAAGAAAGATTATGTTATAAAGCAGCTGGTAAAGGGCATTCACCTGTCCCTTTGTGGACAAAACAGCGCTGTGTGTTGTCTAGGGCTCTGAATGTCAGGTGAAGGAATGTGGGGAAAAAGAAATCTGAGATTACAGCTCTGAAGTTACATATGTGTTATGTGTATGTGGAGTTTTTGTTTTCTCTGAAATAAAAGCTCTCTCTACTGTTTCATTTTCTCTCTGACCACTAATTAATTACTTAATTAATTTATATTTTATTTTAAAAAATTTTTATTTCAGTGTAGTTAATATACAGTACTATATTAGTTTAAGATGTATAATGTAGTGATTCAACACTTCTCTTTATTACTCAGTGCTCATCAAGATAAGTGTCCTCTTACTCCCCGTCACCTGTTTCCCCCATCCCCTGCCTACCTCCCCTCTGGTGACCATCAGTTTGTTCTCTATAGTTGAGTCTGTTTCTTGGTTTGTCTCTTTTTTCCCCCATTTGCTTATTTGTTTTGTTTCTTAAATGCCACATATGAATGAAATCATGTGATACTGTCTTTCTCTAACTTATTTCACTTAGCATGATACTGTCTAGCTCCATCCATGTTGTTGCAAATGGTAAGATTTCATTCTATTTTATGGTCGAGTAATATTCCACTGTGTGTATATATATATATATATAGATAGATGTATATATACATACATCTATATATATACTGCATTTTCTTTATTCATTCATCAGTCGATGGACACTTGGGCTGTTCCCATAATTTGGCTATTGTAGATAATGCTGCTATAAATATAGGAGTGCACATATCTTTTCAAATTAGTGATTTCATATCCTTTGGTTAAATACCCAGTAGTGCAATTGCTGGATCATAGAATAGTTCTATTTTTAAATTTTGGAGGACCCTCCATACTGTTTTCTAGAGTAGTTGTACAGTTTGCATTCCCACCAGCAGTGCATGAGGGTTCCTTTTTCTCCACATCCTTGCCAACACTTATTATTGCTTGTGTTGTTGATTTTAGCCATTCTGACAGGTGTGGGGTGATACCTCATTGTAGGTTTGATTTGCATTTCCCTGATGGTGAGTGATGTTGAGCATCTTTTCATGTGTCTGTTGGCCATCTGGATGTATTCTTTGAAGGAATGTCTGTTGATGTCTTCCCATTTTCAACTGAATTATTTGTGTTTTGGGTTGAGTTATATCTGTTCTTTATATATTTTGGATACTTACCCTTTATCAGATGTGTTACTTGCAAATATCTTCTCCCATTCTGTAGGTTTCTTTTTAGTTTTGTTGATGGTTTCCTTTGCTGTGCAGAAGCTTTTTTTTTCTCTCTCTTTTTTTTAAATAGGCTCCATGCTCAGTATGGAGCCCAGCATGCAGCTTGAACTCACAACCCTGAGACCAAGACCTGAGCAGAGATCAAGAATCAGACGCTTAATCGACTGAGCCACCTAGACACCCTGAGAAGCTTTTTATCTTGATGAAGTCCCACTAGTTCATTTTTGCTTTTGTTTCCCTTGCCGCAGGAGACATACCAAGAAATATGTTATGGTCAATGTCTGACCACGAATTTAACCTAAAATTTTCTCCCAATTTGTTCATCATAACTTTTAACGCTATGTATTTAGCAGGTGCATATTTCATTTAGGTGTGCAAAATATGGACTTTCCTTATTTCCTCATAATTTAGGTAGATCTCTATTTGAGCTTCAATTCTACTTGGTGGTGAATGCTTATTTTTTGTAACAGCTTTTTTCAGTTATAATTGCTACACAATAAACTGTACACATTTAAGGCAAACGATTGATAAGTTTTAATGTAAATATATACCTGTAAAATCATCACTGCAATAAAGAGAGTGAAGGTGGGCATCACCTTCAGGAGGTACCTGTGCTCCTTGGTGGTCCCTCCCTCCCACCCCTCTGCTCCCCTCTTCCCAAATTCACCCCCTTTCTGCACTATAAATTGTTTTCATTTTCTACGGGTTTATATACCTGACATCGTATATCTTGTATTCTGTTTGCCTACCTTCTCTCATTCAACGTGATTATTTTGAGATCCATCCATGTTATTATTGTGGACTAATAGTTGACTGCTTTTTATTGCTAAGTAGTGTTCTATGCTGTGGGTATACCACAATTGCTTTATTTATTCAGGTGTTGATAGACCTGTGGGTTGTCTCCAGGTTTTGGCTATTATACATGAAGCTGCTATAAACATTCTAGTATGTCTTTGCATGGACATATGCTCTCGCTTCTCTTGGGTAAATACCTGGGAGTGGAATGTTTGGGTGTGTGGTAAGTGTATGCTACCATTTTGCACACCCCTGGGGCAGCTCGTCAGTGTTCAGCTGCTGGGCATCCTCATTGGTGCTTGTATGGTCTTTCTATTTAACTTTAGACACTCCAACAGGGTCATAGTGCTACCTTGCTGTGGCCTTAATTTGCATTTTTGTTATGACTAATGATGCTGAGCATCTTTTCATGTGCTCATTTCCTGTCCGTGTATCTTCTCTGATAAGGTATCTTTTCATATCTTTCACCCATTTAAAAAAATTGGGTTGTTTTAATTGAGTATCGAGAGTTCTTTGTGTATTCTGGATACAAATCCAAATATTGGATACAAATGCAAATATTTTCTCCTGGTCTCTGGCTTGTCTTTTCATTTTCTTAAGGGCATCTTCAAAGAAAGTTGGAGGTTCTTAATTTTTTTTAATAAAAATTTATTTATATATTATTTTAGAGTGAGAGAGTGAGAGTGAGAGCAGGGGGAGGGGCAGAGGGAGAGAGAATCCCAAGCAGACTCCCCACTGGGCGCAGAGCCTGATGTGGACGTGGGACTCAATCTCATGATTCTGAGATCACGACCTGAGCCGAAATCGAGTTGGACACTTAACCGAATTCCGCCCCCAGGAACCCCAGGGTCTTAATTTTGATGAAGTTTAACTTATTCTTTTTCTTTTATGAATTGTGCTTTTGGGGTACAAATCTTTGCCGAACTCAAGTTCACAAATATTTTAAATTTGTTTTCCTTTAATAGTTCTATAATTCTGCATCTTACATTCAGGTCTCTGATCCATTTTGGATTACTATTGGCATGCGGCAAGAGGTGGGAGTCCCAGTTCTTGTGTTACGTAAGGCTGCCTGGTTGGTGTGACGCTGTTTGTTGTGAAGGCTCTTTTCTCCACTGGATGGCCTCTGCATCTCTGTTGAAAATCATGACAGTGTATGTGAGGGTGTGGTTTTGGGCTCGCTGTTCTGTTCCATGGATCCATTTTTGTATCATTATGCCAATACCATACTGCATAATAAATCTTTTTTTTTTATTAAAGATTTTATTTATTTATTTGACATAGAGAGATAGAGACAGTGAGAGAGGGAACACAAGCACGGGGAGTGGGAGAGGGAGAAGCAGGCTTCCCACGGAGCAGGGATCCTGATGCGGGGCTGGATCCCAGGACCCTGGGATCATGACCTGAGCCGAAGGCAGACGCTTAACGACTGAGCCACCCAGGCGCCCCTTATACTGCATAATAAATCTTAAAGTCAGGTACTGTTAATCTAATTTTTTCAAAGTTGTTTTGGCTATTTCTAAGTTCTTTTCATTTCCAGATAAATTGAGAATCAGCTTGTCACTTTCTACCAAAAAAAAATCCTGTTGAGATTTTTATTGGGATTGTGTTGTATTGACATTTCATTTGGGGAGAATTGACATTTTAGCAATATTGCATCTTTCAATCCATGAACACGGTATATATGTCCGTTTATTTAGATATTATTGGGAGACAGGGGTCTGTCATGTTTCTTTACGTCTTAAGAGCAGAGGAACTGACCTCCTTTGTTCCCGGCTGTCTTTGCAAGGATGCTTGTATAGTGAGCAAAGGGTGGGTTTGTGTACAAGCATGCAGCAAGGATAATGCTTCCCTCTAGGGCAGAGGTCAGGTAGGCTTACTACCCATTGTGAAAGATCTGGGGTTCCTCTTGTGTCATGCAACCCCCGGCTTGTGCGTGGCCCTGTGGAATTGGGTCTCACCGGACTGGCACAGGTGTGGATGTGGCCGTTGCTGGTGAGTAGTGCAGTTCTTGGTCTTGAACTCCGGAGGCTGGTGCCTCTCTGCCAGCACCTGTGAAACTATAGGCTGCTGACCTCTTAGCTGGCAGGTAGGGTCAGACCCGCATTGCATGATAACCCCTACCCACCAGGGCTGGATGCTTCACCAAACAGCTTTTCTTCTCTTGAGAATGTGGACTAAGGGACCCATGGGATCAAAGCTGGGTCATGGGCCTGACCTATGAGATAACAATCCAGGCTGGTTGTCATGGGCACACGATGGACACCATGCCTGTGGGAAGGGATGGGGTGGTGAGAGGGAGAGGCTAATTAGATGAGAGTACCTGATCCTTCTTGAGTGCCAGTCACTGTTTTAAGTGCTTTACATATAGTTACAGGTTGATTTCTCTCAATACCATGATAAGGTAAATATTATAATTTTTCTTTTATAGATGAGGCAGCTGGAGCACATAGGGGCGAAGTAACTCGTCCCAGGTTATAGAGTCACTGAG